TGCCGTGGTGACATGGTTTTTGCCCGTCAATTTCTCTAGCTGCTGTTTGCTCATTGGCTGGTTATGTTTGATTGACGGGAGGTTCCTATGGGCAGGGGAGGTCTGTACTCCCACACTGCACAGTGGCCCCCATTGCCCCCCCGCCAGGGGCACCCCCAGTGCAGGCACAGGATTGGTTGGATCAGCCACTTTTCTTCCCATAGCCCCAACCAACAGGCTCAGCCCCCAGAGGAGCTGGAAGGGGAGGGGCCACTCTGTGACATCACAGTGGGTGTGGCGGCGTTATGTCCCAGTGGATATATCAGTTACTGCTCTCCGTGTTTTGCGAGGGTGAGACGTGTAAGGAGATTTAGAGAGACAGTCTCTAAGTACACTATCGCTCATTGGCTATAGAATCCATGGTTTCTCTGTCCCAGTTCTGCTTCGGTCACAGGTATGACCTCACCATCCAGTCTGACAACTGGTTATTCAATTCTTCATTGGACGAGAGGTTTAAGGTGAAGCAGCTCTTCTGCCCATCTCTTTTTCACTCTGTGGAGAGAAGAGGCGGCTTTAGACAAGAGTCCAATAATGTTCCAGTGCTACTTCACAGGCTGTCTGGCTGCTATAGCTTTATATTACTTCACAGGCTGTCTAGCTGCTATAGCTTTATATTACTTCACAGGCTCTATTATCTGGCTGCTATAGCTTTATATTACTTCACATTCTGTATTGTCTTGCTGCTATAGCTTTATATTACTTCACAGGCTGTCTGGCTGCTATAGCTTTATATTACTTCACAGGCTGTATTGTCTGGCTGCTATGGATTTATATAACTTCACAGGCTGTATTATCTGGCTGCTATAGCTTTATATTACTTCACATTCTGTATTGTCTGGCTGCTATAGCTTTATATTACTTCACAAGCTGTCTGGCTGCTATAGCTTTATATTACATCACAAGCTGTCTGGCTGCTATAGCTTTATATAACTTCACATGCTGTCTGGCTGCTATAGCTTTATATTACTTCACAGGCTGACTAGCTGCTATAGCTTTATATTACTTCACAGGCTGTCTAGCTGCTATAGCTTTATATTACTTCACAGGCTGTATTATCTGGCTGCTATAGCTTTATATTACTTCACTTTCTGTATTGTCTGGCTGCTATAGCTTTATATTACTTCACAGGCTGTATTGTCTGGTTGCTATAGCTTTATATTACATCACAGGCTGTCTAGCTGCTATAGCTTTATATTACTTCACATTCTGTATTGTCTGGCTGATATAGCTTTATATTACTTCACAGGCAGTATTATCTGGCTGCTATAGATTTATATTACTTCACACTCTGTATTGTCTGGCTGCTATAGCTTTATATTACTTCACAGGCTGTATTGTCTGGCTGCTATAGCTTTATATTACTTCACATGCTGTATTGTCTGGCTGCTATAGCTTTATATTCACTTTCTCCACTCCAAGTGGACGACAACCAGGTTGTGTCCCAGATTAAATGCTTTGCCCTTGACAATACGCTTGTCGTACACTATATAGTGAATAGCTTGCCATTTACTGCGCCTCTCCACTCAGACAGATGGTTAATGTTCTAATTGTTTTACATTATTGGACGCAAACTGAAACCTGATCTTTCCAACAGTCATGTTCTGACTCCCAATGAATTGAGTGCCTTTACCCCATTTGATCCGCCAATAACTGCCACTATGCTAATCTTATATCATTAGTAACAGGGAAATGTCACCCATCTTAATGTATCTTTAATACATAGTCACTGTCAAAATTGATTCAGTTTGTCTTCAATGAACTTAAGACATTTGCCTGAAATCCTCAGCCCCACTATCTATATTCCTCAACCCAGTATCTATATTCCTCAGCCCAGTATCTTTATTCCTCAGCCCACTATCTATATACCTCAGCCCAGTATCTATATTCCTCAGCCCAGTATCTATATTCCTCAGCCCCAGTATCTTTATTCCTCAGCCCACTATCTATATACCTCAGCCCAGTATCTATATACCTCAGCCCCAGTATATATATACCTCAGCCCCAGTATCTATATTCCTCAGCCCCAGTATCTATATTCCTCAGCCCCAGTATCTATATTCCTCAGCCCCAGTATCTATATTCCTCAGCCCAGTATTTATATTCCTCAGCCCCAGTGTCTATATACCTCAGCCCCAGTATCTATATTCCTCAGCCCCAGTGTCTATATACCTCAGCCCCAGTATCTATATTCCTCAGCCCCAGTATCTATATTCCTCAGCCCAGTATCTATATTCCTCAGCCCCAGTGTCTATATACCTCAGCCCCAGTATCTATATACCTCAGCCCCAGTATCTATATACCTCAGCCCCAGTGTCTATATACCTCAGCCTCAGTATCTATATACCTCAGCCCCAGGATCTATATACCTCAGCCCCAGTATCTTTATTCCTCAGCCCACTATCTATATACCTCAGCCCAGTATCTATATTCCTCAGCCCAGTATCTATATACCTCAGCCCCAGTATATATATACCTCAGCCCCAGTATCTATATTCCTCAGCCCCAGTATCTATATTCCTCAGCCCCGGTATCTATATTCCTCAGCCCAGTATTTATATTCCTCAGCCCCAGTGTCTATATACCTCAGCCCCAGTGTCTATATACCTCAGCCCCAGTATCTATATACCTCAGCCCCAGTATCTATATTCCTCAGCCCCAGTATCTATATTCCTCAGCCCCAGTATCTATATTCCTCAGCCCAGTATCTATATTCCTCAGCCCCAGTGTCTATATACCTCAGCCCCAGTATCTATATACCTCAGCCCCAGTATCTATATTCCTCAGCCCCAGTATCTATATTCCTCAGCCCCAGTATCTATATTCCTCAGCCCAGTATCTATATTCCTCAGCCCCAGTGTCTATATACCTCAGCCCCAGTATCTATATTCCTCAGCCCCAGTATCTATATTCCTCAGCCCAAGTGTCTATATACCTCAGCCCCAGTATCTATATTCCTCAGCCCCAGTATCTATATTCCTCAGCCCCAGTATCTATATACCTCAGCCACAGTATTTATATTCCTCAGCCCCAGTAACTATATTCCTCAGCTCCAGTATCTATATTCCTCAGCCCCAGTGTCTATATACCTCAGCCCCAGTATCTATATTCCTCAGCCCCAGTATCTATATTCCTCAGCCCCAGTATCTATATACCTCAGCCCCAGTATCTATATTCCTCAGCCCCAGTATCTATATTCCTCAGCCCCAGTATCTATATACCTCAGCCCCAGTATCTATATTCCTCAGCCCCAGTATCTATATACCTCAGCCCCAGTATCTATATACCTCAGCCCCAGTATCTATATTCCTCAGCCCAGAATGTATATTCCTCGGCCCCAGTGTCTATATACCTCAGCCCCGTATCTATATACCTCAGCCCCAGTATCTATATTCCTCAGCCCAGTATCTATATACCTCAGCCCCAGTGTCAATATACCTCATCCCAGTATCTATATTCCTCAGCCCCAGTATCTATATACCTCAGCCCCAGTATCCATATTCCTCAGCCCCAGTATCTATATACCTCAGCCCCAGTATCTATATTCCTCAGCCCCAGTATCTATATTCCTCAGCCCAGTATTTATATTCCTCGGCCCCAGTATCTTTATTCCTCAGCCCAGTATCAATATTCCTCAGCCCCAGTATCTATATTCTTCAGCCCCAGTATCTATATTCTTCAGCCCCAGTATCTTTATTCTTCAGCCCCAGCATCTATATACCTCAGCCCTAGTGTCTATATTCCTCAGCCCGGTATCAATATTCCTCAGCCCCAGTGTCTATATTCCTCAGCCCCAGTATCTATTCTGCATACCATATTCTCTGTGAAACATTCTGGAGACGGTTTGTTATGTTTTGTGTACAAATTGCTGCCACTACTGGCCCACTTGTTTTCATTGATGATGTAACTGCTGATGGCAGCAGGATGAATTCTGAAGTGTACAGACCTGTATTGTATGCAAACAAATGTCCCTAGATGCAGTACAATAGCAACGATGGAGTTTTTTTTTAATCGCCAAGTGGAAAGGTTTTTGTCGGCTTTGTTAATCTCCAGTGAATCTCTGCAAATATACATGCCATATATTTGCTGAATATGACTTTCAGATTATTCAAACAATTGTACAGACAACATAATGGTAAAACCAACTTCTACAATTTTTACAAGGTTGAGAATGTTGACTTTAACCTCATCTTTAATGTTTAATTTCAATTTCCATTCAAGTTATAAATAAAAACATTCTTTCTCTCTTAATAACTCACATCTATAATCATTGAGAGAGCAAAAAATGTTTTTACAATACTCTGAACATTGGAATTTAAAAAGTATTTTACATAATCTTCAATCTGTCAAAGGAAATCAAATTAAAAAACACACATCTATCTCAGATGGCCATGACCTTTGCATTGTCATGGCTTGACTGGACAGAAGTCCTTCTAGGATCTAATATTTTGGACTGTGTTCTTTTGCCTGGCTAGAGGTTTTTTTTGGTTTAATAGTTTATATCGACTGGTGAAGTTCAGGGTTAAGGTTTCATTACACATAATATCAAGTGTGTGCTTCCGTGTTTAGCTGGATTGGACAACAGTGGTGGCGGACTGGATTAAATCAGCTCTCTTATTGGATGTTGGCCAGATCATTTCCTGACAGACATCGTTTTAATTTGTTTTGGTTTGTGAAAAATAGGTCAATATTCACAGTTTTAAGGGTCTTAGTGAAAGTCTGATACATAAATTGTGAAATCTCCTGCACAAACCAATACACTCATGGCTGTGTGTCCTGCCCTGACCTGTCTTTCTTTGTACTTGTGTTTCCCACTGGCACCTAAGCCACTGATAAGCCTGATTTCTTGGAACAAACACAGAGAGAACATTACACCATGTTTGCCTTTCTGTCTTATCATACTTTTTATTTTTATTCAACATTTATTTAACCAGGTAGGCCGATTGAGAACAAATTCTCATTTGCAACAGCGACCTGGGGATTGAACCCAGAACATCATACATACAAAGCATGCGCTCTACCACTGAGATACACCAACTCCTCCTAGGCTTTCTCCCTCTTTCTCTCAAACACTGATATGCACACACACACACACACACACACACACACACACACACACACACACACACACACACACACACACTCACACACGGCACAGATTTGTACTTTTATGCTGTTTATTGAGATATGCTGCAGATTGAGTCATTCTGTGCAGGGAATGAGTTATGAGTAGGAAAATGAGGTACTGAAGCTGAGATTAACTGACGTGAGAGGTAGTACACAGCCCAGTGGAGTGGAAAGGGAGAGAAGAGGAGACAGCAGTGAGGAGATAAAGGGAGGAGAGAGGAAGGTATGTCACGTAAGAGAAACATGGCTGTTCAAAAGTTTGGGGTCACTTAAAAATGTCCTCGTTCTCCATGGAAACGTGCATAAAATCCGTTTCGACAGGACGTATAGCAAAAAGAATAATAATAAATGTGTCCTTTCAACAGGACGTATAGCAAAATGAATAATAATAAATGTGTCCTTCGAACTGCTTTCATCAATTATCCCTCCATCTGCAGCAATTGCAGCCTTGCAGACCATTGACACTCAAGTTGTCAATATGTTGAGCTAATCTGAAGAGATTTCAACCAACGCTTCTTGAAACACCTCCCATAAATTGGATTGGCTTGATGGGCACTTATGTACCATACAGTCAAGCTGCTCCCACAACAGCTCAATAGGGTCGGGGTCTGGTGACTGTGCTGGTCACTCCATTATAGACAGAATACCAGATGATTGCTTCGTTCCTGGATAGTTATTGCATAGTTTAGAGCTGAATGAGCAAAATGCTTTGGGTCAATGTCTGTTGTAGGAGGAAATTGGCTCCAATCAGATTTGTCCGCCCTTAACACCTTTTTTCCAATCTTCCTCTTTTCAGTGTCTGGGTTATTTTGCCCATCTTAATCTTGTCTTTTTTGGCCCGTGTGTGATATGTTTTTTTTCTTTGCGTCTCCGTGAAGGGAATAATACACATTGTGTTTCTTGGCAATTTCTCGCATGGACTAGCCTACGAATCTCAGAACAAGAGTAGACTGACGAGTTTCAGAAGAAAGTTATTTGTTTCTGGCCATTTTGAACATTCAATCAAACTCAGCATTTCTGATTCTCCATGATACTTAGCTAGTCTAAACAAGGTGTCGTTAATCAACTGTCTTCAGCTATGCTACATGAGGTGTTAAAGATGGGCTGGGTTTGGAAGGACATAGAGATGTCATCACAGTTAGCTGTATAGAACCACAGACACATTTCTGCCTGCCAGCAATCAATACATAATGTGTATGCACACGCACACACGCACGCACACACGCACACACACACACACACACACACACACACACACACACACACACACACACACACACACACACACACACACACAAAACAAACAAACAAACAAACAAACGGAGAGAGAGAGGTAGTGAGAGAGGAAACCCTTGTGATGAAAACATTGCCTTGTGTTTTGAAGCTTGTAAACAGTTGGATAGTATTTAAAAATACCTTTATCCAATACCCTGTAGATCGCTAACAAAATCTGTTTTAAATGTGTGTTTACAGTTTCTGAGGAAGTTGATGATCTGACGTGTGTGTGTGTGTGAGCTAAAGGCTCCAATTAATCAAATACCCTGTCGCCTCAAGGTTGTGCTTCACCCTTCAATTGGCAGCGCGTGTGTGTGTCTGTGTGTTTGTGTGAGAGTGAGAGTGATGCTTAACTGCACTGTAATAAAACTCGCCCACACACAGGACAGGACACTGTCGTTTCTAGGTCTCTGGTGAGGTGGATCTTCTTATGCAACAAACATACATAAGCATGCAAGTCACAAAACAAACCAATGCATTTTGGGGAAGGTAGTTTCTGTAGGCAATTGTCAAGAAGGCTAGACAGTGGAAGATACAGAATCGCAGAGACATTTTCAAATTGAGATCTGGGGAATTTGAAAGGCAGGACAAGAACTTGGACTCTTCATAATGTCCAGAACAATGTGCGCACTGTGGCAGGGTTCATTATGTCATCTGTCATCTGGAAATACCATTGGCATGAAGAGGTGTACCTGGGCTGCGATTACACCATGGGTTGTCCAGAAGAACAATGACCAGAGCATCACACATTTACATTTCTCGGCAGGCTGCTTGGCGAAGGTCTTGTTGCCCAGTCCAGCCTTCTGTAGGTCCACAATCTTGTCCCTGACATCCTTGTACAGCTCTTTTGTCTTGGCCATGGGGGAGAGTTTGGAATCTGATTGATTGATTGCTTCTGTGGACAGATGTTTTTTTTACAGGTAACACACTGAGATTATGAGCTCTCCCTTTAAGAGACACCTGGGAGCCAGAATGTGTGTCTACTGATGTGTATTGTATACTTGTGAGTGCGTATATATAGTGGCATACAAGCATACAAGTATACTCGATCACATTTGCATCAGTATACACGTTGGGTTTATTCTATAAATAAATAAATATATCTCTCATATATGTCCTCTTCCACATGTCATAAGCATGGTAAACAGTAGTCTGTGGGTGTGTCTGTGTGTCTGTGTGTGGATTAGGATGCAGAAGTTGAACAAGGAGAGCCAGGCAGGGAAAGGGATTTCTTGTTTTCTGTAATGCTTTAGCTTTGAGGTTAACAGGAAAAGTTCAACTCACAGACACTAACACACACAGTATCAGAAATATCTCTAATTGTCAACATCATCCTCCTTCCACGTCACCTTCTCTCATCATCACCTCAACCTGATTCCTCTTAGTTCTAGTTCCTCATCCACCACCATCATTCTTCTCATCTAGTTCCTCATCCACCACCATCATTCTTCTCATCTAGTTCCTCATCCACCACCATCATTCTTCTCTTCCTGTTCCTCATCCACCACCATCATTCTTCTCTTCCTGTTCCTCATCCACCACCATCATTCTTCTCATCCCTCATCCACCACCATCATTCTTCTCTTCCTAGTTCCTCATCCACCACCATCATTCTTCTCTTCCTGTTCCTCATCCACCACCATCATTCTTCTCTTCCTGTTCCTCATCCACCACCATCATTCTTCTCTTCCTGTTCCTCATCCACCACCATCATTCTTCTCATCTTGTTCCTCATCCACCACCATCATTCTTCTCATCTAGTTCCTCATCCACCACCATCATTCTTCTCATCCTGTTCCTCATCCACCACCATCATTCATTCTTCTCTTCCTGTTCCTCATCCACCACCATCTTTCTTCTCATCTTGTTCCTCATCCACCATCATTCATTCTTCTCATCTAGTTCCTCATCCACCACCATCATTCTTCTCTTCCTGTTCCTCATCCACCACCATCATTCTTCTCTTCCTGTTCCTCATCCACCACCATCATTCATTCTTCTCTTCCTGTTCCTCATCCACCACCATCATTCTTCTCATCTTGTTCCTCATCCACCACCATCATTCATTCTTCTCTTCCTGTTCCTCATCCACCACCCTCATTCTTCTCATCCTCTCCCCTCCGAATCATGTTTATCATCCTCCCTCTTCATCTTCCTTCTGTCTCCCTCCTCCCTTTTCTGCCTTCCCTTTCTACTTGTAAATATTTCTCTGTATCTTTGTTTTCTCCCATCAATCCGCAGTATAATGAATCATCAGTCTTTTCCTCCTCTTTCCTCCTCTCTCCTCCTCTCTCCTCCCTCCATCACCCTGGCCTTTTATATCTGTTCAATCTGAACAGATATAAAAGGCCTTTTATATCTGGCCTTTTATATCTGTTAAATCTGTTCGTCCCTGAATTATTAGAACACTATCTCTCTCTCCCCCCCGTATCCATGTATCATTAAAACTCTGTCTCTCTCTTTTGTCATCTCCATGTCATTCTGTCCTTCTTCTCTGATAATCAGGCTGTCTGGGTTTCCTTGGCTCTCACACACTGTCACTGGCCTGATAAAAGACACTCACAGACAGACAAACATTCCTATTTTTCTTTCTCGCTATATCCCACTGGCTTATCCTCAGCATTTCTCCTTTCACGTCTTATCCCTTGATATCTGTTTTTACTTTTCTGTCTGTTTTAGTCCACTTCCTTGTCCGTCTGTCTGCCTGTTTGTCTGTCTGTCTGTCTACACATCTGTCTGTCTGTCTACATGTCTGTCTGTCTACACGTCTGTCTGTCTATCTGTTTACACGCCTGTCTTTTCTTATGTGTCTTTCTGCGTTTACTTTATTCCATCTGTGAGTGACTGTTAGAAGCTGGGTTATTAAAGCAGGTAAAGGGTTGTGTGCATCAAGGAACAGTGTGCACAAATTCACAATATCGACTCATACACACACAAAAACATATGAATAGGGTACATGTGCCCTTCACAGCGCCCACACAGACACACACAGACACACACACACACACACACACACACACAGTATAAATCATTTGTGGCTGTAGCTGATGTTGTTTTTTATGCTGAAGTAACTTTTGCATACTTTGTGTCTATGGAAACATTTTCAACTGATCCAGAAGAAAATCAGAAAATCAAAGACTCACTTTGATCTGGTTTTTGACAACCAGTTTGATGATTCCATGGGCCATGATGTGCTTTTAACATCAGACCAGGCCTTTATACCCTGCAACTTGTAAACGGAAGACAGAAAATATTCTTCACATTGCAAAGTCGTGCCTGAAGGAGGAACAAATACAAGTACATCTGTCTGTTTCTTTTCTGCACGGTCATCTAATTTTAATGATGTCTGAATTCTTAAGTGATCGGAATACGTCGTCGTTATCTGTGAACCATACCATCTACTTCAGTTCACAATAAAACGTGTGAACTGTATCTTACTGCAAACTGAAGCAAGAACTAAAAGCACTGTCATTGCGCTGTATAGAGCCTTAAGACGTTTAGACTTTTATGCAGGAAAACTGAAATCTGTTCTACCTCGTTGTACCTACATGCCAACTGCACACATTACTGTAAAGTGACAAGCCTCAATATCACATCCAAAAAAGCTTTTTTTCGACTCCCACTGGCAAAAACTCA